TCGAGCCGTCGCGTGAATCACGTGAAATCGCGAAAATCAGCGAAACCTGCGACGGATCGCGGACTCTGACACCAGCCATACACTCCCTTTTCTTTATGGCACTTTGTGGTTGTGTGCCCTTCGCTGCGCCCTGCTATGCCGACTTGTGTCAAATGCAATGTATGATACCCTTTCAAAAGTCAACTTTCGAATGAAAAGCAACCTATCGCTCACCTCCTCAGCAGTCATGGATGGTCACTTTTCTAGTAGTGTATCTGAAAGCAATTGAATTTGAAATGTGTCGCAAAGAACAAAAAACTCGCGCCAAATAGGTACGTTATATTCAGGTTTTCGGACAAAAAATAAAATGAATAGCATATTTTCGATCTGCAATTAACCGAGGAGTAAGTTGATAGGATATTGAAATCTAATATTCTTCATCGCAATGGCATTACTGATGCGAGGGATCATGAGTAAGATCGTAGATGGCTAAACTAATGCTACAGGGGTAGCACTTCGAAGTCGCTTTTCTGTCATAGTGAACCCACACCAAACTTCCAGGAGCTGTACCCGTACTTCCTCTAGGCTAGGAAAATAAAAAAAATCCCTTAAATTTATTTGCGCTCAATGATATATTTCTATAATTTCAGCACACTTGACTTCTACGCAAACACATACACTACAAATGGACCCTTTCTTGAAGCAATCCTTGTTGAGAAGACCCCTGGGGAATACGATATGGTCCCAGGAGGGGGGGGGGGCAATAATTCGTGCGGATTATGGTATTGTAAGACTTGGAAAAGGAGCCCATTGAAATCGCCAGGTGATTTTCTTCGAAGCTTGCGGCTTTTGTTGCGATATTGCGAAGAAGCGATTGTGAGAAAGACGGAAGAAAGGTTTAATCTGAGCCGAGAGGAGGAGAGCTACGCCGATTTGATACTACATCCTCATACGATATGATACGACTCCCACCCTGAGTTCCTCCTTTTAGCGAGGCCAAGCCCTTCCGAGAGCATAGCCTTGGTAAAAGAGGAACACCGGGGTGGGTGAGCAATATTATTTGCCCCAAAGTTCCTTTTACTCGAAGACTAGCGTACCACACCCCCCCCCCTCCCCATAGCAACGGAATCCGGCCCAAAAGAAGCTCCGGAGGGAAGAACGAATTGCTTCTGTACAAGAATTCTTCATTTGCTGAGAAGCGTCTCACGCGTCCCTGCCCCCATAAGCTTAGTCGAAAATCTCATCCCTTGGTTCGTCTTGGTTGCTCCGACAAAGCCTCTCATCCTTGTTATAGGAACGGCCTTGCATCATTAAAAACATAGGGCTGAAATCAGGGTTAGGGAGGGGTCAACATGATGCAGTTTTCCAGAAAGCTAGGGGAACTCCGAGCTGGGGAAAAACAGCCAGTCTACGAGGGTGGGGGTGAGGGCAGTCAATAGGACATGCGTGAGAAGCTGGGATGTTCGAATTCACACTAGTTCGCCAAAAAACTGTCATGATATCCTGATGCCGATAGACCAAGAATTAAAGTAGACCGCTAGTCATTCGAAATGTCTAAAAAGTCCGTAATTCTGCAAGAGTAAAACATGATAAAGTCATGTGCACACAGTATTAACGTACTGGGGACTACGTTATGTACTGCTTCGCGAACACTAGAATTTTTGATAAGGTTGTATTAAAGAAACAACGAAACCATCACATAATTGGTTAAACGCCGTCGCGCAGAGCTCTCAAAGGAATCTCAGCACCGATTTGATCCAGTAGGCAATTGTAAACGATGATGTAGCGTTGTATCACAAGAGGACCCTGTGACATGTCGAAGGGCAACAGTGAGGGGCAAGAAGATTCAAGAAGGCACCGTGGTGTCTGCTCTCTGGCCTGCGGGGCTAGGGACGCAGCACAAATCGCTAGATGTCTCGAAAACGTCTGTCAACGCGCGCGGCTGCGTCGTGAGTGTCATTACTGGAGCACTCTTTCTCGTGAAGAGTGGCTCAACATTAGACATTCGCTAAGCAAATTTGAAAGGCTAAGAAGAGCAGGTCTGTCACATGGTCAGGGAGCTTCTATGCAAACACCGGTAAGGATGGTATTGAGAAGTATGTGCTCTAATGTTGGTAAAACACTGTGGTCGTACACCTAGCCTCAAAATAGGATAGGAGGGAAGCCCATGAGAAGCTTAAACACAGTGATTATTTGGGTTCATTTACCGAGCATGTTGGGAGAAATGCTGGTCAATCAATGTATATCTAATCTTTATTTGTTCATCATCTTCGATTCGCAGTTTTTGACGTGGTGAGAGGGTGCCCTAGAAAGCTCCGGCTCTCAGTAGCCGATAACTGAACCACAGGGGTTTCTAGGGTTTCTTCTCTGAACTCGCAATATTCACTTTGCCTGAGGCTGAAGAAGCTGGAGAAAAGTTGTTCCCTGGAATATTACAAGTACAGTGCGTTTCCTGCGTTGGTACGTGTCGTAAGTGCAGGCACAGATAGCGACGCTTCATGCAAACCAAATCACGTGTCTTTTATTGCGCTTAGAGTTAGTTGGCGAGACAGACAGGAGTGTATAAGTGTTTATTCCTCTTTACAATCCCTTTTATACCCTTCTATCCCTCCGTGGTCCTTCTTCATTTTCTCCATCTGCACGTCATCCTCGCCATCGTCCATTCCGCCAGCATCATTCCATCCGCTCCATCCACCTAAACCGGCCTACCCATCTTCACCCCTTAGCACTTAGTGCTGCTTGATAACACGCGTTCACTAAGTCTGAAATTACGGCGCGTCTTGCTGCGGAAAACAAAGCATTCACTGGTGATGTGGAAGTTTTGACTTGCCCAAGCGCGAATCTGCAAACGTGACGTCGCTGTTGTTCCGAAATTTTGATTTTTATTATACCGTTCCTCAACGATCTTTCTTCCGATACAAGGAAAACCGAATACTACGATTACGGATTCCCTTACATTTGTTGAGATTCTATCTCGACAAAAATCATAAAGATTACAGATTTAGTTAAGCGCGGTTTTTTGACGGCTACGCAAAAAAAAAACTTTGCAGATCACGACTCTTCGGCATTTTTTTTGAATTGACACGTCAATGTGGACTTTTGAAAGGATAGCACTCATAGCTGATGTCTGAGCTTGTGGGTGAGGAAGCGCTGGTACGGGCAGTAGACGTAGAAATATATAGGTACAAAAAGTATCCAGCTCTGTGCCTATTTCGGTAAACCCGCCTTACCTCAATTCAGCGATGGTGCGCATGGGCATCCGATGAAGGTGTTTAACGGTGTCAAGAAAAATGGGTTCGCGGGATGCCTTTTCACAAGTAAAAAAGGTATTTTGGAGTAGATCTCCTTTGCTAGTCAACGATCAGGAACGCAGCTCAACTAAACAGTATCTTATACTTGGACGGCACTGGTAAGCACTGATTATAAACCAACTTTGTGTCTAAATGGTGAGCTTTGTATCGAGATTTCTAGGGCATTGGGCTGGGTTCTAGGGCTTGTTTTTGCGGGCATCAAACGATGGCTTCAGGACCGAATTCCTTTCTTGTAGCGAGACAGCAATATTTTACTAGTATTTGTAAGTGCACGATTAATGTATCGATGCTTCCTCGGAACGCCTTTTTCTAGATGCAGATTCCTACACACCACTATGCTTGGCAGGTGTTCAATCAAAAGGATTAACATATTTTAATCTTTTATTATGCGTTTACGGGCATTCCTAACAAAATAGAAAGCATAGGCAAAACAAAGACAAAGTGAATTCATCATAGCAATGGTTTCAAGGATAACACTTAGCAATGATGTGAACAACCCGAGACATAAGCCTGAACGTCGTGATGAGCTGATGGCAAATCGCTCTTCTCATCACTCGTAAAATGGCTACGAGTACTGTTAAACAGATAGCCGACGACAAACTAACAACTACACATTTCAAAATAAAATCAAATAAGAATCTTAGTGACACGGTTCTTAGAGCATCAACGGGTTTTACTAGACTGAGTATAGGCAACACATCAACAAGGCAGAGACCAAGGAGAGTAGAAATTGAATGATTCAGCTGTTACTGGCACCGCAATATATTGGAATAGCCAATGTTATAAAACATTCTTAAACAATCGAATACAATGTGAGAGAAATAACAACAAATCTGTGAACATCATCACGAGGCTTGCGAAGCTCTACAGCGCAACAGCCTTCAAGAATGAAACGTATACATATGTTTGAAAATCTCAACATTTGAAAAGCGTCTAATCAGTGAATATTCGAAAAACGCCTCTCAAGTGCATATAAAAATATATGTATCTACATGAAAGCATTGAAAGAAAAAATATCATGTTGTCACATGATCGAGCAGCAACCTTTATTTTCTCGGGCTTTATTTTGTACATAGTTCATCTCGCGGACGATTTCAGCAAAGGTGACATTCACGTTGTGATTATTCTTTGCAGAACATTCCGTGAAAGGACATGACCAATACTCAGCTGAAAGCATTAGAACATAAATGAAAGCAACAACGTACACAAAATTTCAATATTTCTCATAAAAGAAAAAATGACCACGCCGCTAGCCTCTGTCATTCTTTTTCATGCTCTCTCTTCAAGAAATGATCAAAGATTACACCGAATCTATGGCACAAGGCATAAAAATTCTGGAAATAGTTTTTTTTTTTATCACAAAACGGTGTAGATAGTGCGGGAGGGAAGGAAGGCGCGCGCTGTTCCCGCTCTTTAGTACAAAGAGGCGCGCGGCAGGGGAATGTAGTAGACAGTTCATGGGAAGGGGAAAGGCGCGGCGACGAGGTAAGCAAACCAGCCCTTTTGGCGTTTCGGCTGGGACCGTATGCTGAATGTTGGGGAGGGGATGGGGTCCCCAACGGTCGACGGTTTACTTCAACTCGGTTGGTACGATAGGAGAGTACTGACGCAAGTGGTGCAGCTGGTCCAGCAGCTTCGCCAGAAGGACCGGTTGCTCACCCTTGGACTAAGCCTAGGAGAGGGGACGGACCCGTCCTCTCTTTAAGGCTTAGTTCTAAGGTAAGCGCCAAATTGTGGCGGTTCTAAGGACCGCGTTGAAGTTGTCCGTCCACCGTCGGGGACACCATCCCCTCCCCAACATTCAGCATACGGTCCCAGCCGATGTGCCAAAAGGGCTGGTTTGCTTACGTCCGCGGCGACATGTGTGAGTTTCAGTACCTCGTGGGGAGGAACGCAGAAATGCCGCATGTCACTTCGGGGACTGTACCCCCCCCCCCTCCCAACATGCTCAGCATTTACAAACAGAAAAAAATGTCATTCTAGCAGATAGAACACATCCAAATAAACACAAATTCGATTGCATAGGAATTGAACGAACGTTCAATGCTAGGAAATTAGTGAAGTTTTGAAAGCCATAAGGTGAAGTGTGCTAAGAGACGAAAGTGGGCACGACTTACACTACGAGCGGTTCAGGGTATCAAATTCCGGGTGTTGAGGTGCGTCCGGGTCAACCAAGCTCCGCGGCGTGTTAATTGGAACCTGTCGCTGGGGAGGCAAAAACATATTGCGTACATCGGCTGTCATTGTATAAGCCACATCGCATTCGAGTGCCACTACGAATGTACAAACGGAAGCAGAGTGCGCGCCACATCCCAAGAAGGTATTGGTTAACGGCCAATGCCTTATCCTTTACTGCTTCAAAGATATCAATAAAAGACAAAGAAGGGGAGCAGAGAGCATCAACATTCAATCATGGAAACCGTGAGAACGATTGGTTGTAAATGTGCTGTATGAAATAAGGTATGCGATTTCGCAACTTCACAAAACCAGGAATTAATAAGAGAAAAATGAAATAAACCAAAATCCCACGTGAAAATTAAATTAAATTAACGGAATGAAAAAAAAACGACGGGCAAAACCCAGTAGTTGTGGAAGCGCACAAAATGATAGATAACCTATTAGGTGAACCAAAATGAAAAACGAAAAGTAAACTGTCAAAATAAGAACACCGCTGGTTACTCGTATTCTCTCAGACAAGAAGACAGTAGTTTCGTTTTGAGAAGCAGTGTGTAAAAAAGAAATAGCTGCACCATCGGAAAATTGTATTATTCAATACATAGAAAAGTTCACTCACCAAGAGCAATACCTTCGTCTGTCCTCACTTGCCGTTGGTGTTGCAGGTCGCATTTGTTTCCAACAAGGAGAATGGGCACTTGCTCTGTTCCCTGGAATGAGCTCTTATTATTATTACAGCATGAAAACTCTGACAGAATAGAGAACACACCTTAACCCGCACAATTTGTTCACGCATTGTTTTGATGTCATGGAAGGTTTGCTGGCTCGTTATCGAATATACTACAACGAAACCCTGTAATTAAATTCAAACACTGCGATTCTGTATTGTTGTTTGAAAACAAAAGTAAAAAAAATAAAAACAAGAGAAAAACAATTTCACGATAGAGTTATTGATTTACGGATTACATTGCTGTAAGCCGTAACACTTCGCCTTTTTTCGCAAAACTACACATTTTTTGAAGCAACAAAATCCGCACTGCTTGAATTGTATATAGACAATTGCTCTTGGATCTCTTGCACAACGTTAGGGATTCTTTTGGTCCATTATTTGACACTATTCAACCACTACAATCCCCAAAAGCTCAAATTGTAATATTTGTCGGAACTTTGCCCATAGGGGCAAAGTTTCGACAAAAATTCTGTGCCCTGATTACAAAAATGACATTTATTTTTGACGTTGGCGCCATCCGGCGCCAATCGGCACAAGAGCTGATTTTACTAAATTCGCTGTGAATTTGTACATAGAGGTTACTTGGGGTCCCGATTACGAATCTAACATTTATTTTGTCACTGGCTCCACTTGGCGAGTATTTCCTGCTCTTCTACAAACTCTAACTGGTAAGGTCGCGATCAGAGGAGGTATTCAATCCTTCCCCCAGGGGTTGGGGGACGGAAATCCCTTTAAATTTATTTGTTTTTAACGATGTAGTTTCTTCATTTTCAATGCATGCTTACTGTGACATACATACATACATTAAACCTAGGCCCTTTATCAGGACAATCCCAGTTGGGAAGACAGAGAAAATTTAAAGGGATTTTCGTCCCCAACCCCTCGGGGAAGGATTGAATACGGCCCCAGCACTGCTCTTTAACCCATTCGTGACAATGTCAGCCACCGGTAGGTAGCACAGATCTCACTCGGGACAATGGCATTACTGTGGCTGCAGGGCTTGAAATGGAATTTGGAAAGTTTTCTTCCATGAAAGAATCTTCATACCCTCGCTCATCTACGCCAGCCCTGGGCAGAGGAAATCTCCCTTCCACTCGAATTTTATTGAAGAAAAATCTCCTGACGCTGCTGCTATTGCGCAATCCTGCGCGGTCGCGAATGGGTTAAGTTGAGAGGTTCCGATAGGGTACCAGTGAGCCACCCACCCGCTTGATCTCATATGCTTAAACTTTTGCCAGACAGTGCCTGGTTCATCCACCCCGAGCCCCTATCCCCCAAGCTTAGTTTTAGGTAATACGCATAAGTGAGAGAGCCTAGGAGGACGGCAAATATGCGTTAAACAGCGCAAACGCCAAAAGCGAATGTCATATTCGTAATTGTAACCTATATACAAGCGTGCGTAATGTAATCTCGGTATACAAGTTTACAGTGACCTTGGTGAAAACAGCCCTGGTGCCAAACGGCGCCAACGCTTAAAATGAATGTTATTCCGCAATCAGGGGAATCAGAACTCCTGTGAGGAAAACTTTGACGAAAATCAAATTTAGAAGTTTTGTGCGTGTAATAGTTGAATAGTGCGCATTATTTTCATTTTGGTACATACGATGGGTCCTCAACCATCAAGATAGCAGAAACAGTTTGATAGCCGAAACAGAACAGATTTTACACTTGAGCAGTCCAGGAATAAAAAAGAAAATATAACCGTTGCAAAGTACTACATGTGGTCAAAAAATTCACAAGCTCAGTGGGAGATTTTCATGAGGCCGTACGCTAGCCTTCTTCCGGAGGGACACATCGTTCTGCTCCGATGCTATCATGGGCCATAGGTTATCCTCTAAAAAAGAGGGATGTTTGGAATTAATCTCGCCTTCTACTTATATTCCTTAGAAAAAGGGGCTGTTCCTAAATAATGTAACTATGGCATTGAAATTCATTCATAAAGGTCACGACTACATTTTTGTTGTTCTTCTAATCTAACAACGGGGAATGATAGCATACAGCTCCCAAGGCTGAGGGTGACAGAGTTGCTTCATAAGATCCGCCCTAGCCCTGCGTTTCTACCTTGCTCACAGCTCACCGCGTGACTCCACAGGGAATCAGCGCTCGAAGTCACCACAGAATAAAACCGTTTAAAAACCGCAGGGTGGGTAGCATCAAAGGAGGAGGACGCTTCCCTAGAAGGAAGGTCCCTGCTATAACTCAGTGGAATAAATTTTACTGGACGGAAGGAGTGCTAGATGTATTTTCATTTCATTTAACATACTTTGCGAAGCACAAGGGCAGGGTCTATTGATGATATTCCCGAAGGCCTAGGGGGAGGGGGAGGACCGAGTGTAGTTTGATTGCAAAATTATCTAACTAAACAAACTCAATTGCTGCCCTGCATGAAAATGAAAGAACTGAAAAATGGACCATACCTGGCCATTCTTGATGTACAAATCACGCATAGATGAAAACTGCTCGGTTCCAGCAGTATCAAGTATTTCTAACACACAGGGTTGACCATCGACCTTGAAGAGTAAGGACAAAATTAAGTAAAAACCTTCAAAACTCACAAAGGAAAATTTGAGTGCGTATCAGTCGTAGCAAAGCAAAACTTAAAAAGAGAAATAAGCAATCACTAAGTGATTCGTACCTCTATTTCTTTTCTGTAAAAATCCTCTATAGTAGGGTCGTACTTTTCAATAAAAGTACTGCTGACGAACTGAACGGTAAGAGCAGATTTACCCACACCTCCGCTCCCCAAAACAACCACTTTGAATTCACGCATCTGAAAGCAAATAAATGTAGACTGACACATATTTGTTTTCATAAGCAATAGGGCGAGACGACGACAAGTATTCTAGCAAAAAAAGGGTATATAGTACGATGAAATAAGTGAAGAAAAGGAAGGAAATGTTTCGTGGAGACGTTATTACGTATTTATTTGAATAACCTTTGTTAGCTCCTGTGTTACACAACGCGCAACAGAAACTAGTTCACAGCATAAAAATCAGTAAGGTTGTCACAGTGGAATTCCATGTGCTTCGCTTTGGCGATACACCCGTTGACGACTTTTTCTCAGAAGTCATCCTAGCCGTGCATTAGTCCGTTCAATGACACCTTAGTGTAATACGAGGGCGGTAACAATTCACAGATAAACAAAACATTTGCTGGATATCGAAATTGCGCTCGGTTCGAAATGAAACACAGCTTCACGAACGAATAGAGAGGACAGCAGAAAAAGAAAATGACTTGGTGAGAACGTTGGCTCACAAGCGCCGACTCGAGTGTGTTTGCTTTGGAAACGGTCAACCTGCGAAATTTCTGAAGTACCTGTTGCAACAAAGGTTTTCTTCTGGTGAGCTGCCAGGAAAAAAGTGGAGAGATATAGCGGGAGAGGTGCTTGTGTGCTCAAACGTGTCATTCCACTATATCGAACTCGGGGAAGAAAGGACGGCTTTGCGATCACCGCCGCGACGATCGCGTGCGGCGGGACCCGGCGGCGAGCGCCTCTTTGAACGGTTCGTAAACAGCATTGTTTCCAATGAAATTGGTGCTGGGTGGATCTCCTACTGATCCTCCTAAAACCTCCCAGAAGAAGGCTGTGTGCGGTGCAACACAAGTGGAATGAGCACGACGAATTTTTGTTTACGGTATCGTGAAATGTGTGTAAGTGGGGACTGCTGGGAAAGGGACAGGCTAGAGCGCAGAGGCGGTAAGGCTGAGTTCAAGTAGTCCGTCAACCCGACGTGACGAGACGCTATGAATGAACTCACAAGTCCAGGCTTTTCACGCATGTTAAAGCAACAGTTCAGGGAGGGTCCGAAAATTTCAATGCCACTACTACTGAGGGATACACGAGCCCTAGTGAAGAACATATGCAGTGGAAATAATAAACGAACTTACCTCAGAAACTCAAAAACAGGGTGGAAAGTCCCTCAAACATGGGTGTTCTTGGGGATTTCCCCAATCCCGCCCCCTTGCCGGCCGTCATTGGACGCGTCGGCAATCGTGCTCGTTTTGGGACCACAGGGAAAATTGATTGAAAAATGGAGCGCGTTTACAGCGGGCACGTTCAGACAACTCGTCCAACGTGCGTCTTTATCCATTGCTGAGCGGCAGAGGGAGAGTACCTGTCTAAGACCCTCCCCGACGTTTTTTTCCAGTTTTTCATACATTAATCGTCTGGTTTTCATCTACAACTTCATTATTGGTGGTTTTTTCCCGCGAAACCGTTCCTGAACTGTTGCTTTAAGTGTCTGCTCCCATCCCCTCACCCCCTATATTGGTTACACTCCCCCTGGCTCATGAATTCCTCAATTCTCATAACCACTAGTACGGCAGTGGTCCCAACTTATACCCTTATAGTAATCAAAAAGTACGGGTGCCCGTCCCGGTGCTATCTTAGTTGGGGGGGGGGGCACGCGGCGGCGCGGCGCTCTGTTCGTCTCCTCCTCAAAAGGCTTAGTCCCAGGGGCAGTTACGGTGCTATACAAGTAATGTCGCCGCATTTTTTGAACAGAAAAGTATGTCAGTAGGACTGTTGCCCGCTGCTGTACTGTCACCAGAATCGGGGAATTCGTGAGCCAGGGGGAGTGTAGCCAATCTAGGGGGTGGGGGGTGAGGGCAGCCACTTGACATGCGTGAAAAGCTGGACGTGCCCATCCCACTTGTATAGAGCCGCAGTTACTATTTCGCATCACTTCGACGTCATACTTTGACGAAGTCGAGCGAATCGCTAGTCGAATCCGCTCGAGTCTGAGCCGAATCGGCTAGGCGAATCTCCGCTCGATCGCTAGCGAATCGAGCGAATCGCTATCGAATAGCGAATCGCTAGCGAATCGCTCGAGTCGAGCGAATCGCTAGCGAATCGAACGATGCACCAGCGATTCGAACTGGGTACCAGCGAATCGAACTAGGTACCAGCGAATCTTGCATAAAGCTTGAAACTAGGGTGTTAGGCTAGGTTTTGAGTGAGTGTGTGGTTGCCGCCGGACAAAGAGCCTTTGGTGAGGCCACACAACCTCCGAATTTCGCGTTTTACTCCCCTATTTCGTCCACTATAGGTACTCGTTGACTGGTTTATACAAGGAGTAATTAAATTATTCGATCATGTCAGTCAATATCTAACACCGTTGGGCTTCATTCAAATTCAAATGGACTACAGTGCCGCGGCAGTAATCTTTGTACATCGGCGTCTTTGATTGATCTTAATTGATAGAGGATACAGGAAAGCTCACTGATAAGGACTTTTTCATATGATGAGGGGCATCTCGGAAATGTTTGCCTTCAAGTATCTGCGCCAAAAAATAGAAACTTGACGGCCAAGTTCAGGTTCCTATCATGTAGTTCAGAAACTCCACTGCGTATCATGAGCAAACCGTCCTTTCCGTAGCGAAAAATGCCCAAATTAGCCTACCGTTTTTTTTTCGCTCGAGTGCCAACTCGTTCAACGCTTAAAACTTACAATGTTCTCTCTGTGTTTGCATTAATGAGACCTTCCATGAACATTCTCAGTTTTCCTTCTGACATCCCCTCTGAATGGAAACCGTCCATTTCACACAGTTCAAACTTTTACAGCTATTGTGGGGACTGATCGCAACTATAATCATTTATGGGGTACGTCAAATTCTTGAAAGCTTCACATGAGTCTTATGCTTATTACCATTGGATGTTTCTACGTACGCTCCCAACTAGTCGCTCCCAACTTCTATCAATTGCACATCACTTCCGATGACACGTCTGCCCCAACTTCCGGATATCGACTGTACTACCAAGTCCATGCAGGTGATAACCGACTAGAGTTTGTAGTTGCAGAGCAAAACTTACAAGGATCCTCTTTTCGTACTCATCTGAGCTGTAGAATCACACTTCAATATTGTAAATGAATTATCAGCAGAAACACTTTTAGATCAAATTACATTTCTCATAACAAAAGTACAAGCTAAGAACACTGCTGTAAAGCGGACAACCTCAAACAATACGAATTTTTACAAATCACTCGCTAACATCTAAATAGTTTGCATTACTAAGGCTAAGCTCTAATGATTCATCTATTTCAGCTCTTGTTGATACCCTACACGAAGTCTTCCCTAACAGATTGGGCAGGCAGCCAAGAACGAGCCCAAAGTACTATTCATTTTCCTTCATCATCCAGTTCTTGAGCACACATGCAACTATCTACAGACCCGACCAACTTCTGTAGAACCCCGAAGGCGGCCTATAACCCCTATACACGATCTTATTATTAGTCATGGTTGAAAAAGCGCTTTTTATCAAAATTTAGACAGACCATTAGACCAGTTCATGTGTAGTCCTTTACAATACTACATTATTACGACCCTAGCGGGAGAAGGAGCAAGTAGTAAAAAGCCACCACGTGACGTGACGCCGCTGCGGATTTGCGAAACAGCTTTTTCCATCGAATTGTGATGGTAACGACTCCAAAAATGAAGTTATATTCGTAATGATAACCGCTATGACTCGTATTGGATAAGTTTTAAGGCGATACTGCTGCTCTTCGTGAGATAGCATTGCCGCAGCAATATCGAATCTGCTGATCCAATAACCCCCTCAAAACTGCATAGCATTGCCGAAATTTTGCTGTGCCTAACACCCTAGTTTCAAGCTTTATGCAAGATTCGCTGGTACCTAGTTCGATTCGCTGGCACCTAGTTCGAATCGCTGGTGCATCGTTCGATTCGCTAGCGATTCGCTCGACTCGAGCGATTCGCTAGCGATTCGCTCGATTCGCTAGCGATTCGAGCGATTCGCTAGCGATTCGCTCGAATCGCTCGAATAGATCTTAGTTGCTTTTTCTATCTCTGATGGTATTGTCTGCCAAATCGTTTGAATACAAACTTTCCGTCGATAGATTGGTGGTAAGTTTGGAGGAGAAGTTCCCCTAAAAAGGCTTAGTCCAACGATTCTCCCTAGAAGTAGATCGGGTGCCACTCCAGTCCCCACGTATCACACCTGTCGTATCCAAAAAGACGGCGTGACTATCAGCATAGTCAACCGGAAGCGGTTCAGCTTCAGCATTAGGACGGATGCTGATCTTTGTGTATGGGCCAGCTTTGTTTCCCACATAAAATGTGTCGTAACTGCAGACTTAGTGATGGCGTGGCGCGGTCTCGAAATCGAAATCGCGTGCCTTTCATGATGTTTTAGATGGTATACGAAGCTATATACGGAACGAACAATAATTCTGCAAATGCGGTGTCCTAGGCGTTTGAAGCAATGCATGCGAAGTGAAGTATGTAAAGGTGGTCACTGTAAAAGCTATTTAACACATTGTGTACCAAGCCGTTTTTGCGCTGGCGAGCTCGCCTGGCCGCGCATGCATTCGCACCGTGCGCCACATGGTGGCGCATGCGGCCACACGGGACAGATATTTTTCAAAATCCTTTTTAGAGGGTCCTTTACCACTTTGTTTTTTTTATTGTCTTGCTAAGTCACAATTTTGTTAGGACTACGTTATAATTTTTGCCTATTTGAATTGTCATGAACATTCCAAGTGGCTATCGAATGATTATATAACAGCGGTAGTGAGGGATCAAAAAATCTGCTCTGACCAAGTTCTGGTGAAAAAAAGCGATGGCAACAAGTTCGTTCCTTTACCCCACAACCTGCTTAAGCATGTTTATTGAACAGCAATGAGGTTTATTCAGTTTACAGGATATTCGTAGGTGCATTTCACCCTCCACTGGACTTCAAGGGATGTGGGTGTATTACACCCATAATTTGCCGAACATTTATTATCGATTTTGATACGAGGGTAGCGCAAGCGTGAGTAGGATTTAAGTAGAAGGTTATTAT